TCTTTGCCTTTTGGCTGCGTGCAAGTGGGTCCTTGTGACACACGGGGATGGGGGCAGCCAGTGCTCAACCTGTCATCCACGTGGCTGGCCTTGTACGTAAGAGGTTATGAACAGGTGGAGCTTTCCTTACCTCCTTCCCCTTCCCCTTTTTTCCTTTTCCTTTTTTCTTTTTCCTTTTTTGCGCTCTGATTCACAATGTGACAATATATGCAGACTGTAGAGGGTTCAGCTTACTGATGAGTCGGTGCAACTTCGACGAAGCAGTTTGTCACAGCCCTTCGTTTGTTGTCCTCTTCTCCATCCCTGCCTACGGTTATGTTCGCATAAAAATCATCCATTTTTTTTGAAAACTCGAATACAATGCGTGTGCGTTGTGTTCGGGGGAAGACGGTAGTTGGAGGTTGGGTGAGAAGTGGGTAACGTGCAAGTGACAGGAAAGCAAGGGACACAAGACGAGCTAAGGGGGAAGAAAGTAGAGGAGTACGGTGACGATGATGATGATGATGATGATGACCCAGCCCATGTATGTGGCTGAACTGAACGGTACACCCCAACACTCCTGCGAAAGTTTCTTTGAATTTTCAATGTTGCCTTTACCGTTCTATTTTAACATACGGAATGTGTGTTCGGCACAGCATCGACCATTCCGTGAAAGTTGTTGTGAATGTCCAATGTTGTTTGTGCAACACAGCATTGACCATTATTCTATGTTAAACATAGAAAATCCTTAGGGCATATTCACAGGAGGGCTTTTTTTGGGTTGTTCCCTTCTTAACCTCCTCTTTTCAAGAAGGGCCATGGCCTTGAGATATCATCATTGAACTGACTAGCCCCAGGTAATTCGGGATGATTGTATTCTGGTCATCTGATTGTATCTGTATTCGAACTTGGATCCATATTTCAACAATTCGTGGGTGTACCAACTGAGCTGGGCCCGTTGGTGATTTCGCTTCAGCTCTGGACGTGGTTGCAGTCAGCTCTGGACGTGATTGATTGCAGTCAGCTCTGGACGTGATTGCAGTCAGATGCATCGAGGTCCTTCTGTAATTGCGGCCAGATACATCTAGAAAAGTGCTAGTGTGAGTATGCCCTGAGAATGGTTCCCTATGTTAAGGTGGGGACTGCCTCAGCTCTGGACGTGATTGCAGTCAGACGCATTCGGGTCCTGCTGTAATTGAGGCCAGATACATTTAGAAAAGTGCTAGTGTGAGTATGCCGTCAGAGAGGCTCCCTATGTTAAGGTGGGGACTGGTACACAAGGCTGAGAGTTCAGAAGAAAGTGTGCTTAATCACGTTTCACCGAACGTAAAACGGGTGAGGGGAAATGTATTCTGTGATGTTCTACTGCAAGAAACCGTGTTGACCCGAATAGAACGTGTACGGTCATGATTGCTGTACCTAGATCGCCACTTGGCCCAAATGCATCCATGATGACTGTACCTTCTATTCTGGTGAAGACTGTAGAATTGGGCATGTTCACGGGCCCAGCCTTGCTCACATTATCACGTCCAGGCAACGAAACATTTTCAGCAAGGCTTCTATTCTGTCGGTCCATAATGACTATGCCTTCTTTCTGGTGAAGACTGCCGACCGTGAACATGCCCAATTCTACAGTCTTCACCAGAAGAGAAGGTACAGTCATTATGGGCATCATGTTCCGTGCTGAGGCACCTGCTGGAAAACGGGTCCAGTACACACGGCCCCAGCCTTGCTGAAAATGTTTCGTTGCCTGGTCGGAAGATGTTTCCTTGCCTGGTAGGCAGATGTTGGCGTGGCCCGGAGAGCCAATTTCTTGACTTCCGGGGGGAGTGGTGGTCTCTGAAACCGCCAGTTTGCGGCCCCAGCCTTGCTGTAAATGTTTCGTTGCGTGGTCCAAAAATGTTGGCGCATCTATTAAAGAAAGTCGGTCGCCGACATTTTGGCCTCTGACAGGGGCCCGTGGCGGATGTGAGGAGTGTACTGGAGATTTAAGGAAAGAAGTGGAAATGGACGCCGAGGAGGAGCCTGCTTGCTATCGTAGGTGAAGAAGAGGCGTTAAAACTGTTGATCACAACTAAAAAGGGCAGCCGTGGAAATTGGAACAATACAGAGAAGGGTAATTGTCATGCCCCCTGCATGACACGCATAAATCTAGAAGTGGTCCAAGTTATAAAAAAAAAAGACATAAAACAGAAAAGAAAAGAAGAAAAAACATAAAACAAAGAAAAGAAAGAAGGGAAAAAAAAAGGGCAATTCATTTACAGTAGATGTACTGGATGGCACTGGAGTATGGAGGCTTGCACGAATCGTCTAGCTAAACAAGAACTCAAATTGACCAAGGGTTGATGTGAAAACAGCTTCCGTAATCCACAGTTGAGAGAGAGAGAGAGAGAGAGAGAGAGAGAGAGAGAGAGAGAGAGAGAGAGAGAGAGAGAGAGAAAAGGATGTCATGGCTGATCTTTGATACCTATTCCTTGTGTATTAATTGATAATAAGTACCAACCCCTCTCCATTTACCTCCGAAGACAATGCACGCTTATTTCAAGCATACGACATCCATTGCGCCATTGCTGCTGTGGCTCACGTCCTTCATTGCATGCTCCTCCTTTCCTCTGTTACTCCGTCTTCTCGCGCACGTGAGGTGCCCTCATGATGACTGTATCGGGCCGGAAACATAGCTTGTTTACGTTCATGATGAGGATGTGTTGTGTTAAGTAAGAGGAAGACTGTGGACCCCAAAGAATGACGGGTAGCTGTAAGGGAAGGGGGGGTTTGCATAAGCTCTCTCCCTTTCTCCTGGAAGAAGGGAGTTTCAAGTTTTTCACAAGCTAGAAAAGTGAATTGCGAGAGGTTGCCTAAGCCCATAGCACACAGGAAGTGACCTCTTCACCCTTCAGGCAGGCAGAGGCGGTGTGGTTCATGTCACTGCTACTACTATTGAGAGAGGTTCCTGCCAAACGCTGGCCTGATGTAGGATGCTTTCTGTCCTGATGAAGGTGGTCGCATGCTAATTGAATGAGCTTGTGTAATGAGCTGGTGTTGCACATCGGATACAGGGGAATTGAGGTCGACCTTGGTTTGGGGGGCGGGGGGAGGAGGTAGCGCTTGCACCCTCGTTGCCCCGCTGCTCCCCGG